TTTTTCTTGCAAGAATTTGTATTTTATATGGTATGAGAGGTCACCTTAACTGTTGAATGAAGGTTGTTCTATATAGAGCCCAAAATTAGGTTAAAATCTGTGTAGCCATTAGTTACCATTGAGTATTTGAATCAAATGAGGAAACAACCCCATCTGCCTGTTTTTATACCATTCGATCACATTCCTTTAGTGTTGCGTTCATAGACTGTATGATCTCTGTTTCTACCGGAGGAGGCATTGAGATCAACGTCTCACAATGTGCGATTGCACGGTTCTCTAACTTTTCTTCCTTGTTTGATTGAGTCTTTTTTTGATGGAGTTTTCATCCTCTGTCTTCTCAATGCATCTAGTTTGATCCCGATACTCTTCAACCATCTTTCCTTGGTCTGAAACAACTTTTACACATTTGCTATTTAGTCCTTGAATTTTGAAATTCTTCCTTTTCCTCTTCTTCAGCTGATTGTCATTTTTTCAATCAAAAGCCATCTAAACTTAGGTTTATCCTACAACAATCGATATTTAACCAAATGAAGTAACAATCTTATCAATTTGACTTCTAAATAATCACGTTTGATGACCCATAAAGGTGTAGAAATCACACCTATCACGATGTTTATAGAGTAGAACCTTCACCTTGCTAATATCCTCTTTCAACCCTTAAATCATCACAAGGCTTTCCTTGGAAGCTTTAAGGGGTCCTATGTTTAGAGGACCTTGCAGGACGCATTCTAAAAGAAAACCATATGAGACTAAAGGATAGAAAACATGGCTCTCTATAGTGTCGACGACCCGAACATCTGGCTTCGAATCATTTAGAAAAGTTCCCATTTCCATCGATGAAGAAAAACCCATCATGTCATTCTTGAATTTTATTGGAAATTTGATGACTCTGTTCTACACTCGCTTCGGGATGGGAGAACATGTTAAACCATCCTTAGGCTCTCTATACAATACAAATACGGTAGACAAAAAATAATAGTTCGACTGGCATCTCCCTCTCTAGTCTACCATATTCTAAAGCACATATGCCCCTAACATGTGACCTCTGCCAGTCGGTGTTACTTGTGAAGAAGCCAAGTTGAAGTACCTCAGAATGGAATGGAAGAAATGGTGGATTGAAACCAAAGATCATGCTCCATTGGCTGCTAGCAAATGGTGATGCAACCATCTGATGGCTTATTGGCTTGCTCAGTGTAATCTAAAGCATGTAGATGGACGCTATCTAGGATCTAGAAATACACTACAACAAAAACAATCTTTTACAATGTTAAAAAAATGTTGCCTAAGACCTTTTGTAACTTTTGGACGTATGTTGCAAACATCAATATTGTCGTAGAGTAGAAGGATACAACGTTTTTTGAATATTGCTAATAACCGTTTTGCAATGCTTTTTGAATGTTGTTAATTATATTTTTGCAACGTATTTCGGATGTTGTTAATAACCTTTTTACAACATTTTTCCAGTGTTGCTAATAACTTTTTTGCAACTTTTTTTTTTATCATTACAAATTTTTGAATCTATACAATTGAACATTAAAATGACACCACCTAAATAAAAGGGAGTTTCAAAATGAAATAAAATTAGGAATAAAAAAATGAAGAGCTTATTGCCATGCCTTCTAGATAATACTCTAATGGCATACTCAATCATGGTTGAATTGGGAACGTGCACTGGTTTACATGGTAAACATTTTCCACACTTGGATCTATAGGTGGATGGCAATGATCCTGGGCCATCGGGTCGACACCAAGCCCCTGTTTGGCCCCTATTATTGTTCATTTTTTATGGTTGAAAATTTTTGGAATAGTGATTGATGGGATGTGGTGGAAAAGTAGTGAAAAGTTTTAGATTTGTGTGTAATATTATTTTATTTGATGAATGTGTGGTTGTAATGAAGAGAAAAAAAAATTTAATATAATGTAATGAAATTTAATGGGGCCAAACGGGGCCAAGTGAGAACTCGCTCCACCACTTCTTCTTTGATCTTCCTCACTCCAAAACCTACATACAGACGCAAAAGAACAAAAAATTGTTAAGAACACAGTAAAAGGGCTTAATTAATTCCATTTGGAAGAAATTTGAATTTACTTACTAAATTGACGAGTAGGGTTGTGGCTAAAAGCTAAAACTGTAGTAAGTAGAAAGTTGGATTACATTTTGGTTCATTTGCTGGAATAGAGTTGAATAAAATAGCAGACTGAAGAATGGTTGTTTGATATAATATGCGAAGATGCGCCTCTTTCCCGGTCGATTTAAGCCGAAAGCTCCAGAAGCTCATCCCATACTATTGACAACTTGACATAAAAAGCCATTGGAAAATAAAAAAAGATAGTTAATGAGCAATCTCCCATGCAAAACAAACAGTTTATCGGAACCAGTAAGCTGGGAAAATGTTGTAGAATCACTGTCATTCTTCATGCATTCCTCGATTTGCCCGCTACACAATTCACGATTGCCAACGAAGCTGCAAGAGAAGCATTGAATCATTAAGAAAAAAAAGTCATACAATTTTATCAGAAAAACTAAAAGAGCTTAGCAAGGACTAACATTCTTTACAGCTAACATTTCAAAGCAATTTGTCCAGTCTTCCTTAGTAGATGATGCAAGCGTCAACTTTAACTTGCAAGCTATGGTATATAGCTACTGCTTCAACTGCAACAACCAGGATTGTGAACCAATTACCTGCTATAGGGATCTAATGGTTGGTTTGCTTTGCACGAAGAAGGGAAGAAAAGATAACTTACCTGGAAATCAAACACAACAATGACAAAAGGTTAGATTCTTTCTATTCTATTGGCTTAGGACTATGAGTAAAATTAAGAGGATCTACTTATATAACAGCTCTCACAACATTTTTATTTCTTATATAATAAAATGCAAACAAGACGAAGAAAATTATCAATTTTCTACTCTTCTATTCTTTTGTTGCTTTAACACGGCGTTATCGTAGTTCAATTCATCACAAGGAAGAACAATTACTATGTGGCAAACAATTAGCATGAGCAACCAGAAAAAATACAAAGAATATAAAATCTAATCTCAACAAACTAGGACTGGTATCAAGGAACAAGGCAAAATCCAGGCTAACAAATTTACTTTACAATGAAGATCACATAGCATGTTGACACTTCAGACTACTAAATGCAAAATTACTAAAATCATTGTGGAAGTTGGCAAGTACGCCAACAGAAGGTATTGGTCCGACCAGAAAATTTGTTGGCACATTGCTTCAAACATTTTAAGAGAACAACATAAAGTATTATACCTAAGAAAACCATCCAAGACTAATGTAACTTGGAAATTATAAGGCTACTCACAACTCGAAAGCTTGCTTAATTTCCCAAGCGAAGCAGGAATGTTTCCACTGAGAGAGTTGCTTGAGAGGTCCCTGCGAGCACAAAAACCAGAAGAAATAAATAATTAACCTCAAGAATATTCCATTATCATTTAAGCATGCATATTTCTTAGTATAACCAAAATCTCAATATCTCAGGCATCTAATTTTGTAATATCCTCGTACATCAGTGTTCATGAAGCCACTACTCATTGCTCAAGACCAGAACTCATGCTCCCTTTCAGTAAAGGCTGGTATCTAACTTTGCCAGACAAGAACTCAAATTAATATCAGTTTCTCAGGCTAAAAAATTTAGATTTTTTCTTCCAACAAGTGTCTTATAATAAGTTTACCCCTGACCTCTGAATCTCAAAAGTAGTAACTAACAGGGTTTCACCTTCACATGGCTCCACACTCAGGGGCGGACCAAAAAAAAATTTTTTTTTTTTTGATTTTTTTTTTTTTTTTGATTTTTAATATGAAAGGAAAATGAATCAACATTCATTTCAAACCAATGTTTTCTCTTGCCTGAGTCGCCTCTTCTCCTTTCCTCTCTTCTTCTTCATGATATAATCAAGGTTGTATATTGTTAAATGGATACGAAAATGGTTGTGATAATACTGAATAACTAAATAAGAATAGTTCAAAACTTCAAATCTCATTTATCTTTGTTTAAATGATTTATAGTTACTCTCAAAGAGTGGAAATTGCATTGTTAAATGAAAACAGTGAAAAGTCTGTCTCCACTCTATAGCCATTTCAAGTTCAATCGCGACAAAGAATCCTAAGATCTGACCCAAGGAAAAAAGCTAGTAGGCAAGGCTTCCATGAGCTATAGTGCTGAAACCAGTACTAAACGAAGTAATCGGTGTAAAATGATCTTATACTTGGATTAGATCAATGAATAGGAATAGAAGGATTCTTAGTTGAATTTAGTTACGTTTTTGTAATGCATGAAATTCACAAGTGAAATTCTCAGTTGAAGTGACATTTTTAAGGAATTTCGAGAGCCTTTTAGCCTATGAGAATCTGGTCCGACTGAATGTAATCAGAAGAAAGAGTTGTGCAATATGATTGAACCTGAATGAGCAAGGATTGTTTCTCGGGTATTTGATGCATCAAAAATAAGTCTTACTCTTACCATTTTCGTATCCCTTGTTGATTTACTTGTTGCATCTGTTATATAAGTTTCAGAATTTAAGAAATATACATATAAATCTATGACTTGGATTCTATCAAAGTTTGTGTAGCTCTTGATGACCAAGATTGTATACTCAATTTCTTTGCTGATTTGAATTACGAAACTATATTAAATTTTTCTCTATTTCTCACTTTAATTATGGAACGTTATCAAAATATAAGAACATGTAGAGAATAATTGTAATAAAATATCTCTTATTTTAATTTTTTCGTCACTTTTTGAAAGTTTGATTGTGTCCCTCCAACATAAAAAGTCTACGTCCGCCCCTGTCCACACTCAAGCTTGATATCTCATGTCAAAATATACCACTGCATAATTAGAAAAATCCCTTGATGCTTTACCAAATGACTAAAAATGGTATGGAAAGTTCAGATAAAACCAAAACTTCTAATAATCAGAAACATCAATATTGATACGACAAGAAAATACAGTTAAAGCACATTGGTTTTAGGTTTAACTATGCAATGCTTGAAGAAAACCGAAGAGAGGAGAGAACCGAAATCGCAGGTGGAGACAAGGCCATCAGGAGAGATTATTTGATCAAAATCGGATTCCTCTCTAATTTTGAAAGGGAACTTTTCCGACGGTTGAGGAATAAGTGGTATCAAGAAGGTCTCACTTGGAGGATTAATAACAGTAGACATTGAAATGGCGTCAAACNCATTTTAACATCAATTTCAACTATTTGATACTACGAATTAGGTCATCCAACTATACTTTAACATCGATTTCAATCTTTAACTTTTAGGAAAATATAATTTGGTCATCCAACTATAGTTTAGCCCCTGTTTGGTACATATTAAAATTTTCATTCTTATTCTTTTACTCATTTTTAACCACACATTCTTCAATAAGATAATATTTTCCATCATATCAATAACTTTTCCTTCTTTTTCAACCACAAATTCTCCATCAATCTACTATTCCAGAATACATTATTCCAAAATAATGTTTTTCAAATTCAAAATTCAGGTCTGAACTTTATTTAATCAAAACTCAGGTATTAATTGAATTATTAATTATATTAACCCTAAATCACACACACTCTCTCTCTCATTCTCATCTTCACCGGTCTCTCTCTGTCTCTCTCATGTTTCACTCCCTCTCTTCCTCTTCACAGGCGAAAGCAGCATCAGCGAACTGAGTGCCGTCGTGAGTCGTCACTATCGCGCGGAGATCTAAGATTTTCTGGTGACGACAACGATGAAGCTCCAACGATGGATAAATGGAGCGAAAAACAGATGGTGTTTAAATGCTTTGACGAAAAAGGCGATGGTAAAATCTCAAAAGAAGAGCTAAGGAGGCGCATGAGGGTTGTAGGTGGCGAAATGTCAAATGAGGAGATGGAAATGGTGGTGAGTCATCAGAAGCTGACGTCGATGGAATGTTAGGGCTAGAGGACTTCTCGAAGCTAATGGAGGATGGCGGCTAGGTCAAGAGAAATGACGAATTGAAGGAAGATCTAAGGCTACCTTTTAAAATGGATTGATGGTGATGGGTTAAAAGGGTCGATGATGAAGTGAGATTAGAGAAGATGGCAAATGTTGGCGGCTGAGGTGTGGCCGACGGCATGGTATGGTGGTTGCTGTAGGGCTTATTGGATTTGGTTGGTTATTAAGGAGTTGCGTGAGTGCTGTAGGTGGTTGTGTGTTTCCTATGGCGGCAATGGTAAGTTTTTGTTGGTGATGGTGTGACGGTGCGGTGGAGATGGTGATGGTGGTGCAGTGGATCTAAGTGGTGGTGCACTAACTTTGTTGTTGGTGGTGTTGTAGTGATGTGGCGATGGTGGCGGGTGAGGGTGGTTGCAAGTGGCTGTAGTGGCCGTGCTAATAGTGTTGGCGAGGGTGGTCGAAAGTGGTCATAGTGGTTGTAATGTTAGTCTATGATCAAATGTTTGGTAATCTGTGACCAAAATGTTTGGTGATTTGTGACCAATTACTCAACTGTAATCTAAAAATTTAATAATATGTGACTCAAAAATAATCTGTGACCAACTAATTTAAAAATATGTGACCTCGAAATAATCTGTAACGTACAAAATTTTTATCTGTGATCTCGAAATAATCTGTGATCAATTAATTTCAAAATATGTGACATGCAACCTATAATTATGTATATGTGACAATTAATTATATAACTGTGATTTTATTATATTTAATTAATAAATATTTTTAATTAATTAACTAAAAACCTAATTTTTGCATTAGTCAAACTTAAAACCTGATTTTTGAATTGTGTATAGTTAATACTTTACTTTTGAACTCTTCCTATTGTGAATTGGAATGTGGCTAATTGAAATGGATCTTGGGTTGTGGGTAATTAAATTGAATTGGATTGTGGGTTTGTGAATTGGATTGGGTCTTTTAATATCCGGATTCACTTTTTGCAACGGTAAAAGTGAATCTTTTCTCAACAGTCGGTAAACGTTTTTGAAAGGCTATATATTAAAGGATAATTCTAGTTTTACATAATTTTTGTACACAAAAAGATACATAAAACTCACATGGTGTGAGCCTCACCAATGTGAGTGTTATGTATCATTTTATGAACAAAAATTATGTACCCCTAGCAAAACCGTATATTAAATGTTTCACAAACAAGCAATGAACATTGCTATTGAACTAGATTTTTGAGCGTTGCAAGAAATGAAACTTTTAGAATCATTCAAAAAACGTTAGTCAATAAAAGTTGCAAAAGACTCTATATTCAAAGTTTCAGCAATTTGCAACACTGATATAGAACTATATTTTAACAACGTTTCAAAAACCTTGTAAAAATGAAACTTTTCGTAACATTAAAAAAATGTTGCAAAATGAGACATTAGCAACATTGATGTGATCCAAGATACGAGGACAAGTTCGGGTAAGGATCCATTGATCGTTGAAAAAGAGCCTATAACTGGATTGCGAGCAAAGCGGGTCAAAGAAGCAATGGACTACTTGCTTAAGTCACGGTGGACGAAACATTGATAATGAAAAGCAAAGGGACAAGTTTCATGTTGATTATGGGAGTTGAAACAAAGTGGAGCAACTTGATTCAAGTAATGGACGGGGGAGACGAAACTGCACAGTTGTTCAGGGCATGTGGGCACATGCCCCTTTACCGAAACCCAGTGAAGGGTTTTAGTTGATCTATGTGGCCGCATAGATTTACACTATGCAGCCAAATAGTTTAAATTCGAAAGTGAATTTTTCAAATTTCGTGCAATCATCTATTTTAATTAAAACTTATGTATGATATTTTTTTTAATCTTTTGATACTTAATTCCATTTTTAAGTAGGTTTTATGGGTTCCATATAAATATGATGCATTTTATTCATTGTAAAAACACACAATTTTGAGAAATATTATTGCAAGGCATATTGCTTTCTTTTCGTTCTTCATTAAATTAATTTTGAACTTATCAAGATTATTTCTTGTGGCATTCGACAAATCGGGTGAGATTCTTGAGTCTTGTAATCACGATGCCAACATATTATCAGCGATTGTGTTGATTCCCTGATTCAATATATTTGAATCAAACTTAAACATTGATTTCTTGAATTTCTTGGGTTAACTCAATCTTGTGTGGGTTTCGTAGCTATCATTGCTACGAGAATTCGCATCAAACATTCATTTAAAAATTGTTGTCAAAACTCAATTATATTAATCAATGGCAACATTCACTTATAAAAATATTGCGATAGACCTTTTTAGTAATACTCAATTAACGAATGTTACATTTTTAATGTTGCAAAATGGCATTGTTGTCGTAGTGATAATGTTGGATAAAACAAGTTGTGGATCACCAATATGAGGTGACCTGACCCATAAAACATTAAAAGGGTTAGAGAAAATGGTTTGAACTTGGAATTCAAACCTACAACACATTCGACCCATAAAACGTTAAAAGGGTCAGAGAGAATGGTTTGAACTTGGAATTTAAACCTACAACACTCCAAAACCTCCCTAAACTCCTCACTTAACCTCTAATAATTGTCTAGGACAAAGAGAGAAAAGAGATGGCAAGAAATATGGTGAAATTCGTATGAAAAATATCACCAAAATTGAAAACTGCCAAGAACCTCATTTTTTGCCGAAAAGTCACAAAATTATGCACTTAGGTTGTTGATAATAATTGAGAAACGCGAGATTCGACCCAACTACACCTAGAGGGGGTGATTAAGTGTAAATAAGGAATTATTAATCTAATTAATTAGCAACATGTCACAAGTTAATTATATCTAGGTAATTAGTCAAACAATCAAATTTAGCCTATCTTTGAATACCACAATTATATCACAACAATAAATAAAGTAATAAATAACACCAGAATTGTTCACGGAGAACCCAATGTGGGAAAAACTTCGGACGCTTTGCAAGTGAAAGATCCACTATAAACTGATAATACACTTACAAACCAATAGCAAAGTTGACAATACAAGCTTTCTGATCTCCTTCTGAAGTAAGAAGCAGCCCTCCTAGAATGTGCACACGAACAACAAACATGGTTCTTCTTTGTAAAGCAGTCCTCCTGGAATGAGCACACGAACTCCAATCCTGACTCTTTACACAGTTTATCTCATGTAGATCTTCCCAAAGAGCTTCTCATTCTTCATATTCTCCTTTGATCTTTAATGCAACATAGTGGACGACACAATCTTACAGCAGACCCAAGTGAATAATACAATCCAGTGTTTTATTTGGCTCTTTGATGTTTTCACAATGTTTAACACATGAATAATGGAAGGATTGAACTTTGATTCTAGTAAAGCCTATATTCTCTCTGAATAATATGATGTTCAATTTCTCTTACGTAAAAAGTGTGATGCCTCAATATATAAGTTGGACGAAATAGGTTGTATGGGCCAAGTAGAAATCACGTAAATAGAAAATTAGGTCTGGCTAAATAATACGTCGCTCAAGCAAAGGGTCTGTCACTCGAGCGACAGTGGGGTGAAGGTCGAGCGGGGCATTGCAGATTTAGTTACATAAATGAGAATACAATTTCAAACGTACAAGAAAATGTATATTTAGGTCAAATGATTTTGAATCATTCGACAAATGTGAATCGTGCTTGTTAGGTACAGTAACCAAATCTCCTTTACTTGAAAAGGAGAAAGATTTGCATAATTACTAGGTCAAATACCTAGTGGTGTATGGGGAACCATATCAATTAATGCTACATGAAGTTTCTCTTATCTTATCACATTTGCCAACGACCATTTCAGAAATGGTCATGTATATTTGACGAAATTTAAGCATGAAACTCTTAAAATGTTCAAGGGATTCAAACTAGAAATTAAAAAATAAATAGGTAAATATATTCTCACACTAAGATCTGATCGATGTGGTGAATATCTAAAAGGTAGAATTTTATATTATCTAAAAGAGAATAAGATTCCTCCACGTGCATTACAACATAATGGTATATCTGAAATAAGGAATTGTATACTATTAGATATAGTGCAATTAAAAACAAACCATGCAAACATTCCAAAAATCGTGTTGAGGTCATGCACCTATTGCCACGTGCTATGCACTAAATTGTGTCTCATCTAAATCGGTTGACAAAACTCTATATGAGTTATGGAAATGCCAAACTTATCCCATATGAAAGTTTGGATTGTGATACTTAAGTGAAGCGCACTGAATCGGATAAATTTGAGACTAAATCCGATAAATATATACATTTGTGGGATATCAAATAGACAATTGGATATCAATTCTATAATCCCGTTGAAAAGAAAATGTTTGTCTCAAGACATAAATCTTGAAGGAGTTCTAGGAGAGGACGGTGGGAGCAGAATAAATCTTGAATGAGTTCAAGAGTCCACGGATATAATTGACTGAATAGATGAACCTGAGTCTAATCCTACACCTGCTGAGAGACATACTCTTGATTAAGAAGTGGAGACTTCTGAGAACACGTTAGCTCCACGTAAATCTTGTAGGAACATTCGACCTTATGGAAGGTATGAATCCATGATTACTAATCAGACATTAATAATCTAGGATAATGAACCTCTCAATTATGCATGAGCAAAGTCAAGTGTTGAGAAGGCTATGAAATCCGATGTGAATTTAATTTATGTAACCAAGGTTGGACCTTGGTCGACCTGCCAATTGATTAGAACTCATAGATTGTAAATGAGTTTACAAGAAAAAATCAATATGGATTGAGAAGCCTCTTGTAGCTGAAATCTTCGATTTGATGCAAAAGTCAAAATGTTTGATTTTATAAAAAAATGAAGACGAATTATGTATTTACAATAAGATAGGAGAAGTATTGTCGCATTCCTAATATTATATATATGAGACATATTATAGAAAACGACGTCCTTATATTTCAATTATTAAAATTATGGTTGTCAAATATTTTTCCGTGATAGATATATGAGAAGCAAGTTGA